TGTGTGTGTGCGAGCGCGTGCGTGCGTGTGTGTGTGCGTGTGTCTGTGTGTGTGTGTGTGTGTGCGTGCTTGAGTGCGTGCGTGCGTGCGCGCGTGTGTGTGTGCGAGCGCGTGCGTGCGTGTGTGTGTGTGCGCGTGTGCGTGTGCGTGTGCGTGTGTGCGTGTGTCTGTGTGTGTATGCGTGCGTGCGTGCGCGCGCGTGTGTGTGTGTGTGTGTGTGAGAGGCTGGTTGAAAAAGATTCTACGCTCCGTCTTTATAAATGCGTTTCGAACGCGCTCCCAATATAATTATTATTATGGTATCTGTGCAGCGCCATGCATGTAAGCTGCCATCGGCTCAAGAGTTTGGTTTTCAGTCGAGCGCTCTTCACTTCTATCCACATCTGTCTCATCAGTTATTAAAATATGTGCTCTTCGTGGCTTTCTACGAAGTAGATGGGGACAATGAGCCAGAGTAATTGATGTTTGCATAAGAAGACGAGTCAGCGCGGGTAAATATACGCGAGCGTTCGCGATTTAATAAAATAATAATTACGTGACAATAATCGGCCTTGATTAGTAGTTAGATGTCTGTGTGCGTGGTTATTACACGTAAGCATTCACCCAGAGACGCTCTCTAGGTGACTCTCTCTCTCTGTCTTTCTCTCTCTCTCGCTCTCTCTCTCTCTCNACCACCACACACACACACACACACACACACACACACACACACACACACACACACACACACACACACACACACACACACACACACACACACACACGTGCGGATGCTCCATTAGAGCCAGCCGACGGCAAGGAAATGAGAGGGAACCGCATATCCGGCGCTTGTCGGCAGCCGACGACGTTCGTGGCGACGGTGTGGATTGTCCGCGCTGCCGACGGCTTAATGGCCGCTAATAGACACATTGTCGGCGGCGAAAATTGCCATCCGTCGCCGACCGACGCCGACGACGGACAGGAAGACGGCGTGGCGGCGTGCAGCGACGTCGGCACGGCAGTACGTCGGCTGCGACGTAGCGTGGTCGTTGGCGACGTGCATCCGGCAGATAATTACTGGCCGCTTGCTGCGGCCGGGTGCTGTCCGCCGAAGAAAGAGAGAGAGAGAGAGAAGAGAGAGCGCGAGGGAGAGAACGCGCGAGCGGAGGAGAGATCGAGAGAGCGCAAGAGAGAGACAGAGGGAGAGAGAAATAGAGAGAGGGAGAGAGAGAGAGAGGAGAATATGCGAGGGAGAGAGGGAGAGAGATTGAGAAGAGAGCGCGCGAGCGAGAGCGAGCGAGTGAGAGAAAGCGGGAGAGAGAGGGAGAGAGAGAGAGGGAGGAGAAGAGAGAAGACACGAAGAAGAGAAGATAGCAGAAAGGAGAGAGAGAGCGAAGAGAGAGAGAGAGAGATAGAGGAGAGGATAGCGAGAGAGAGGAGAGAGAGAGAGAGAGAGAGAAGAGAGGGAGAGAGAGAGGAGAGAAGAGAGGAAGCGAGAGAGAGAAGAGGAGGAGGAGAAGAGAGAGAGAGAAAGAGAGAGAGAGAGAGAGAGACGAAGAGAGAGAGAGAGAAGAGAAGAAAGAGAGAGAGAGGAGAGAGAGAGAGACGAGAGAGAGAGAGAGAGAGAGAGAGAGAGAGGGGGGAGAAGAGAGAGGTTAAGTAGAGAGGTAGAGTAAGTACTTCCCGTGCTAATTTTTCCTTATTGTCGTGGAGTGATGCTCATGGGAAAGGAAGGTTAGAGGGTACAACAGCGAGGAGGATGTTGAAGTGCTGCTGAAGGGAGAAAGAGAGATGCGGCGGAGAGATGAGATAATTGTTAGTGAAAGGGGAAGGTTGGATAGAAGAAGGGTGTAGAGGGCAAGTAGATGGTGGCCGATACGGGAAGGGGTTGAATTATGTTGTGTGAGAGATAACGGAAAAACACACGAAAGGGAGGCAATGGGAGTTTAGAAGGAGATACGGAGGACACGGTAATGGGTGGTACACGCAATAAGGGCACGCACAGGAGGCAGGAGGTGACGGAAGGCGCGGGGGGAGGGGTGGTGGCGGGATCGGTAGACGATGGCTCTCTCTCTCTCTCTTTCTCTCTCT